GTGAATAACGACGACACTGGATGAAGTATCGAAGCACACTTTATTTATCAATATTAATCAGGGCAGCTCCAAAGTCACTTTTACAGTCGTCGAAGATCTACTATAAACACGCTGGAACAATCAGCGACACAGCCTTCAGGTTATCAGGCTATCATTGTGGAGACAGCTTCCTGCAAAGCACCCGACTCTGCTTGGTCGTTCTCGGAACTCCACGTACTCTCGATACTCTCCACGCTACAACTCGCGATGCACTCGACGACACACGAGCACAGCTCCCGACTCTCGGTTCAGTCGTTTCCGGAGCTCAACACGCTCTCTCGACGATGCACTAACCGCGACACTCTACGAGACTCCTTCGGTGCTCGACGACACTCGGCACTCGCTGCCGACTGTCAACGCGATCGCCTCCGCAGGGATTGTTTCGCTAGACGAGACATACTCACTCGATGAGAGACGCATACTTACTGACACTGCAGACCAGCACGGTTTATATAGCTTTCAGCTTGTGTTCGGGAACAATTCTGGACTAAACCAGTAAGAATTCGTTCCAGAAGGTTCCTTCCAACCGTCCATGGTGTATTGCCGATTTTGTCTCCAAATGGGTGATTTCTCGCCAAATGTGGCAACCCTGCCTTCCCTTGACCTTTTATGGCAACCCTAAAACTGCTTTGCGAGGGGAAGCAATCTCACCGCGCCTGTACATTTCGTAACACTGCCCCCTCTCCCAAGGACTGCACGTCCCGGGCAGTACAATCGCTTGTTCAGAAGTCCAAATTCGATACAAACAAAACATTTTAAAACTTACAGATAACACAACTAAAGAAACAAATACAGAGTTATACAAATTAATGTTCATAATATTTACACTGTATACAAGTTATATGCACAAATTAGACACATCACAATTTTAAAGGAAACAAATGCTTACACTATGTTCAAGTTATATACACAAATTAAACACATTACAATTTTAAGTTATACAAATTAATGTTCATAATGAAATTTCAGTCTCAGTCTTTTCATTAAAATATACCCGGTTCAAATATCTTTCCACTGCAGTTTTCAGGTATATTTATGTTTTGCATATCACAGTCTGAAGATTCAGTCCTTTCAGACATTTCATCCACAGGGAGATGTGAAACAGTTTGTTCACCACTCTGTAGTTCATTCACAGCATGCGTATAGTTCACCTCGGTATCATTAGCAGATGGTACATGCTTATTTACCTCTTGTTCCTGGAAACCAGTTCCGATGTTTGCACCGGGGTCATGAAAAGAATCCGATCCTTTACAAGCAGAAGTATCCCGGTTTAGTATCAAGTCCTTGTCTGCAAAACCTGCACTATGAGACGCACACATAGTCTGCAAAGTGGGTGAATTTTCTTGCAATACTGGAGCGCACTGCTTAAGCTGAACATAGGCTTCTCCCATCTCTGCATCACATGCACTTTCAGATGTTTCAACACTTGCTCCCTGCGACTTCGTAACTTCACTATCAGTTTCAACGAACTTAACAATCGTATTTTCACGTTCTTCCACTTCAGGCACTTGAAAATCAGAATGTTCTTTCCCGTCTTTTATTTCTTCATGTTTTCGTTCTTTTTCTTTACTCCCGTTAGATATTTCATCATTTATTTCTAGATCTTTCTCAGACAGATCTACTTCTTTCATTCCTTCATCCTTGGAGTGTCATTTTCACATCGTCTTTTATGGCTCCAGTTTCATCTGCAAGTTCCACTTTCAGCTGTTGGAGTTGCTCTCGCACCTTTTCTTGGCCGAAATTTATTTCTTTCCCTGGGCTTTCTTATCTTCCACTCCGGCTTTCATCTCTATGAGTCCGGCTTTGATCTCAGCTGTCATCTCTTTATATCCAGCTTTTATCTCAGCTGTCATCTCTTTATATCCAGCTTTTATCTCAGCTGTCATCTCTTTATATCCAGCTTTTATCTCATCATATCCGGCTTCCATCTTTTCTTGGAATTCAGCAAAGGCAGTCACGAGCTGTCTTACTAGATCTTCCATTGGTCTTGTCACTGGCATTCACCCTCAAATCCCACTTCTGACACCAGTTGTTACGTTTTTCTCTAATTCTAATCTTCTGCCCGGCTGTCAACTCGACCGACTCCGCACGGCTCGCTAGACGAGGCACACTCTCGGAGACACACACTCTCCCTCTCACACTGAATGACTGCGGACTAGCAGGATTTATATAGCTTTCGGCTCGTGTTCGAGAACATTCTGGACTAAACCGGTAAGAATTCGTTCCACAAGGTTCTCCAACCGTCCATGGCATATCGCCGATTTTGTCTCCAGATGTAGCCAAATGGGCTATTTTACGCCAAATGAGGCAACACTGTTTTCCCTTGACATTTTATGGCAACCCTAAAACTGCTTTGCGGGGAAGCCATCTCACCGCGCCTGTAAATTTTGTAACAATACACTAAATTTGCACTTTACCATTTATATATTGTCCTCATTAATTTTTACACTCTCCATTTATTAATGTGCTGTACATTTTTCATACGTTTTGGATATCTGTGCCTATTTAAATTGTAGTTCAAATATTGTCAAATATCTTACACAATTTGGCAGAAAATTGTCCTTATATTGCTTAATTCTTTATGATTACTATTTCTTTCTGATGCATTTCTCTCTCTTTCTTTATTAAGTTGTATGAAAGTTGAATGCAAATGCATATTCCCTTGTTTTCTACTTCATGACGGATTTCCTTCCATATGATCGCATATTATATATCAATATGTCTTAATGACTGTTTTAACAGTTTCGAAGTTATTTATATAGTAAACCATTCTTCTAAAAATACTCTACCATAGCACATGTTATAGAATTAATTTTTGAATCTTGTTTTATTTTTTTCATAGTGCAAATTTCAAGTGTGTTAACTTGAATAATGTTACGAAATGTCCAACTGCGATGAGACAGCTTCCCCGCAAAACCCGGATTAGGTTTTTCAGAAAGTGGCAAAAAATTGCAGGTTTGCCTGATTTGGCGCGAAATAGCTTATTTGGCGACAAAATTGGTGATATGTCATAGATGGAGTGGGAACATTCTAGAAAGCATTCTTAGCGGTTTTCTCGGGAATATTCTCGAAGGTAGATTAAAGCTGCTTGTACGGAGAGATTAGTAGTGTCATGAGTTCGGAGATCAGCTAGAGAGGAATCTATCGAGATGGGAACTGAGTTTTAGTTCTTTGCCGTGAAGCTGTCTGCACCGTTAAAGTCTGATAACCCGAAGGCTGTGTTGCTGATTGTTTTAGCTTGTTTATCTTAGTTTTTCGACGACTTAAACGTGTTTTTGGTAATCTCCTGTGTAATGCTGTCGAATAAATAGAGTTTTGGTTCTCTATCATTGTCATGAATTACTCGAAATCTACGATCCCGTAGAATGCAACAATATGTTAGCTTGGAATGTGGTCCACACTTCAATGCATTTTCAAGAATTCCAAGGAAGTTTACATTGTTTTATAACATCGTAGATCATAAAATAATTGGTCTGTCTTGCTATGTTCATTTCACATATGAAAACATTAATGTATTTTGTTAAACAGGTAATAATTTCCAAATGATAATTCATGTTATGTATTGTTGCTTAAAACTAACGCAAGAAACATTGTATACCAAAATTATATCAACAACACTTTAGCGTATACGAATTATTATGTGAGTTGTTGATTAACACTTTCAGAATCTATTATTTTATTACAAGGAATATTTGTTTTTGAACAAGCAAGGCTTAAATAAACAAAACATAATATATCACCAATAAGTATATAATTCTGTATTTCTATATTTATCAAAAGATAAATATAGAAATTGTTGCACATTGTTGCAACAATAGCATTGCTGCACAAACAGCAACAATGCAAGTGTTCCGAAGAAAAAATATGAGCCACTGTATATGAAATATAAAGAATTTAATCCTCTACTAATAGACCGCAATACTACGTATTTTACAAAGAATTCCTTTCAGAAATTGGCCGTTGAGGGAATTTAGAATTCTAAAGATGTTTGTCAGTTGTGTTTGATTTTTTGTATGTTAATGTAAGGAATAGCATTTACTTTACTTAAGTATATACTGTATTTATTGTATTAAAGTATTCTTTGTATTAGTTCAAGCGAAAGTCTAATTTATGTGCATTCCGGATTGCATGCTGCTGTGGATAAAAGTAACTACTATGGGTTTTGATATCATATTGTTATCCTACGAAATTTTCATTGGCCTTTTTGTATTTTTGATAGACATTTTTTTCATTCTTTATTTGTGGTAATAATTTTTCCATATCTAAACAAACTCACATTTCCTTTTTTTAAGAGTTAATCGGGAGCTGGCTGTAAATATAAATACAAAGAAGGTATTCGTTCGTAGAACAAATGTCCTTTTGTTTTCCAAATTTAAATGATTGCAAAAATAAAGCAAAATAATATTTGGCAGAAACTATTATACACTACTTTGTTAAAAGGTGTTGTGGTGTCTGTGATTATGGCAAAGCCTCGAGGGCTATCTGCCTAAGGGGAGGGATGCCTTCGTGGAAGACTTTCTAACGAAAACTGGCTCATATACACGTTACACACGGGGAAAACCACGAAAACGCCCATGCAGCCAGCCCGTTCGCGGGATTCGAACCTCGTACCGAACTACCAGTGTTCAGCGACTTTACCGCTCGGCCGCTGGTGGGCCTACTTTGTTAAAAGGAGAAACGCTTTTTTGAACGGGGATATATATACCTAACTCATTCAAAAACATAACGTATATTTTTTGTTTGCAAATGTCACTAAACCATCGAATATTTTCTACGTGTTTTAGAGATACTTTCTTCGTATGGGAAGTGGGATCTTAATTAATTAGTCGAACCCATCCATGCGTAACTGTGAGAACATTTACCAGAAGCAACGACAGGAGTGTCATTAACGAAGTAGATAATTATCATTAATGAGTGTTAATGGATAGATGACTAAACTCCCCCCATAATAGGTTACTTACGTCGTACGCGGAGGGTGAAGGTCTCGCTGACAGGCGTCTTGAATTCATCGCTTTTGGCGAGGCACATGAATTGGGATTTATCATCAGAAGGTGTGGCTAGAAGGAAGATTCTGCTTCTAGTGGCAATTCCACCAAATACAGAACTCAAAGTCTCTTCTCTGTGATCTCGAACATAGAAACCATTCCTCTTCCACGAAATCCGAGACATGGGGTTGCTGCTGCCTGACGTGCAAGTAAGCGTCACCTAGAAAAATACCAGTTTATTCAAAAATCATTTCATTGCTTGTTGTTCAGTAGAAATATTTAGATTATGGTAATTCACTGTTTTCATAAAATTGAAACAAATTACCAAACTCAGTTGTGCTAAAAAAGCTAGAAGGGTGAAATGTGATGGAAAAGATTTAAAATATTACAATGAGAAAATGATTTTTAATACCAATAATTAAACTCGACAAAATACGATATAACTTATATTAAGACTTCTATCAACTAATAAATTTGATACCAGAGTTGCAACCAGTTTAAGGAAGAAGTAACTGGAAAATGTAGTAATGTTAGAAAAGGAACGGCGAAATTTTGTAACATTCGCAAATATTATCAGTAATTTATATTTCTGCTCTTCCTCTTTTAGTAATGAATCATTTAGCAGCCTTCCTATTATGCATCACAGCAAAAAATATGGTTCACATGTGTTAAAATTAACAGCAACACGAACTAGCAATTAATCCGTACACATGTTTCAAGAAAGTAAAAGATAAATGTATAATAGAGTGAATACCATTTCTCAGTGTCAAAGTGAAGAATAAATCATTCGTGACCTAAATCTGGAGAAAAATAGATGTTGTGCAGTGATGCTCAGTATAACCATGAAAAGCAAAAATGTGTAAAATAAACACGCTTAAATGCGTCTTGATCATGCATTGCTTTCATTATGGTGTTACTTATGAGTGCTCTGTACCTAAAAAAAAAAAGGATGCCTTCGTGGAAACGTTTTTAAGTTCGGTTTATTTAATTATGGCAAAGCACACTAGGGCTATCTGCTCAAGGACAGGGATGCCTTCGTGGAGGACTTTCGAAGGGCAACTGGCTCGTATACACGTTACACATGGGAAAAACCACGAAAACGCCCATGCAGCCAGCCCGTCCGCGGAAACGTTTTTAAAGGGAAATTGCCTAATATATACATTCATATGGAGAAAAGCGATAAAAGCTTCAATTTAGCAAACCCTTTCGCTCGGAACTGAACTACCAATATTCAGTGGTAAAATAACTGAGCCATTAATAGGTCTGAAGCCTTGAGCTTTGGTTTGATATTTAAAGCAACGTGCTGGTGCATATTTCGAGGATCACATGTAGACATCGCGACATGCGTGATCGTGCGGTGGCTGATAGAGTTATAAGACTACCGCAAAGCTTAACATCGTAGAGACATTAGGAATTTTTTGGAAGCTGGACAGATGAAAAATGAGCAAACGCCTTCGCCGGGAATCGGACCGCGTTCCTATGGAATAGCCCCAGCGTGCAGAACCACTACACCACGAAGGCACGCCAGGAAGGTGGCAGAAATACCTTATAACACACTTTTAAAAATTGTCTTATAAAATGCATATAAAGAATGTGGGAAAATTTTACAGTTTCGATAAATTTTGATGGAATAGTTTATTCCTTATTTTTCTGTGTATACGTGCGTGTGAAGATTTATATATATGTTTATGTTACGGTGAAAGACCGAAATCTGGAGAATGTCGACTTTCACCGGTGAATGTCAACATTCACACAGTTTCTTGGTGTATGTCCGAAATATTTTCCAAATACTCTTATTTCTGACTTACACCGGTCAATGTCGACATTCATTATGTACTAATGGTGAACGTTGAACATATAACAATATTATATTTTCTTCTCCGTAATTCAGTCGCGAATAAACGCACTTGACACTTGAAATAAGAACTTAAGAACATGAGAACCTAAAACACACAATATATTCAAAATGAGAAAGGAAAATAATAGAAATTAAAAACTTACTTAATTATACAGTACGTTCTAAATGAGAAAATAAAATAACAGTGATAAAAAACTTACTAAATTATGTGATTCAAATCTTATTTATTGCAACAACTTAAACTACTATGACCTCTCCTTTCGACTTACACCAGAGCATATCTGTGATTGTCGGCATACACCGGTGAGGGTCCGAATATACGCGAATGTAGTGCAATATTCGATCTTTCACCAACGTATTTGGTGAATGTTAACATTCTCCGGTGAAAGTCGACATTCTCCAATTTCGGTCTTTCACGGTAACATATATACATACATATATTTATCTATCTATCTATATATATATTTATATCTATCTATATCTCTCTTTATATATATGGGTATATAAATATATGTGTATAATATAAATATGTGAAAGAGCTCTGTTTTATTATTCTTATACGTTGGTAATCTGTACCTTTTCTGCTTTGAAATGAATTGAATTATGCTGATCTTATGTCCTGGTTAAGTTTTTTATGCGTTAATTTGCATGCAACAGTTGTCGAATTATCAACAATTTAACAGTATAAGTGGAGCTAAGCCTAATGAGCTGAAATTTGTTTACACATGAAACTCTCATTAACATAGATAATAAAGTCTATTGACACATGGCCTGCAGTATCTTTTCGTCCAGTGGGGGCCAAATTTTAACTAAAGTTTCAGAACGAAAATTTATCTTTCTGCCCGTTGGGGCGGACAGCTTGTTTATGCGTAGAATTTTATATTTTAAATGCAAGAACTTAATTTTTAAACATGTTCGGCGCTTTAGGCTTTTTGTATTTTGCAATTTTTAATAAAAATGTTTTAATTTTTTTTCCCCCTTGGCGTGGGAAATGAATTGATTGAATAAAACATGTCTCTAATGGAATTTGAGAATATAACTTCAAATATAGTGCAACAAAATATGTGTTTAATTTAATAAACTGTAAGGAAGTCATTTGGTGTCCACATAAAACTTTTTAATTGAAAGAAACAAATTTTTTCTAGTAATAAAAAGTTTGTTGAATTATTAATAATCCCATTTTTGCAGTTATTTTTAAAAATTCAAATAAGCAATTTTTGTAAACCTTATCAAAAGAAAACTGACAAGGTTATAAGGTATTTACACCGCCTTCTTAGCTTGTCTTCGTGGTATAATGGTCAGCACGCTCGGCGCGTTTTCGAGAGGTCCGAGGTTCGAGTCTCAGCGAGGACACTGCACATTTTTCATGTTTCCTGCTTTCGAAATAACCTAATGGCTATACAAGTTTTAAGGTGATTCTCTACTGCCCGAGTTTTCGATAATCAGCGGTGGTTACAATGTATCTTGCAACTGAGTTCAAATGTAGTGATCAAAGTTCTACTATAATGATTAAAATGAGCCGTTATATCGACTTAAAAATCATTTATCAGAGCATAGTTTGACAACAATGTAAAACACGTAAATAAAAACAAGCAGGTGCACACTTAATTGCATTTTTATTTATAACTTTGTATTTCAGTACTGTAACAGGGAACAATATACAAAGAAACATGTAGACTTGTTTGCGTACTGAACTCCATAAATAATACGGCTTCACTAAAGCATGAATCTATCTTGCATTTGATACATACGCTGTTCTTGCATTCGTATGAAGAATAACAGTTAACAAGAATAGTCTCTTCAGTGCACAAGAGTTGGGTATTAGCACTTTTCGGTTAAAGAAAGCACAGTTAATTGGAGAAAGCCTCAAATACGTAGTTCTATAATCTGATTGCCTTTGAAGAAATTAAAACAATTTTAAATTTGTAAACTACTATCTTGGAAGAGAAAAATATGCACCCTTTAATTCAGAAGCAGTAGGAATCATAACTCAATGCAATAAACCTGCGCTTCTATTTGTATCTACGAATATTTAAATAAAGCTATCTTACTATGAAGACATCAGTGCAAACGGTTTTATTGCCATAAGAAAAATACAAAATCAGTAAACAATCTTGGAATACTGCAAGATTTAAATTTAATGTTAGTCTTCATTATTCTAAAACGAATCATAATAGGAAACAGCATGTTTTTAACATTTAAATGCTTAATACTGGCGTGCCCCAATTCCATTTCTCAGTTACTTACTTACACAGATGACCCTCGATCTTTTGAGCTTCTGTCACTCTGAAAAATACTTTTGGGTGTCATGCACTCAAAAGAAGTCTTGTGGAACAGACAGATTCTACAGCAGAGCTTAAAAAACATCTAATTAGTTAATACCCCAATATATCCGCCCCCGCCCTGTCGTGGCGTAAAGTATGTTCCTATCCTGGAAGCAGTACTGGATTAACCATTAACCATAATATAAGCATGTGCTTAGGCATCAAGGAAACGGGGCATCACAAAGATATCCTTAGGTATTCAGGAAAAGGAACTTAAAAAATTTCCAATTGCCGGTTTTACCATAGAATGGACCTAAACCAATGAAATGTAGACAGAATGAATGAAGAAGAAACTGACGTATAAATATGGGAGGGGGCACAAAAATCTTTTAAGTCCTCTAAAAGTCTAAACCGACTCTGCCTGGAACTAAGACAAGCATTGGATTTTATGATAGCCATGACATACAAAGCAACACCCTTATTATTGCTTGTCTCTTGAAATAGATATTTTTCTTAAAGTTTGAAGATAATCCAGTACTAAGCCTCTCCTTTCAGCATAAATGATGTCTCCAGTTGTGAAACACTGATTTATGATAGCCATTGCAACACCCTTATCTTGTCTCTGAAATAGATTTTTTTAAAGTTAAGTTTGGAAGGATTAAATCCATGACATAAAGCGCTAAGCCTTTCTCCCAGTTAAGCAGCATACAGTTGTGATTTATGATGTACTCCAGTATGTGAAGAACCAGTATGATTGATTAGTTACGAGATAGGCATAAAGTTATTCGTTTGCCACGGCCTCTCCTTTCAGCATAAATGATGTCTCCAGTTGTGAAACACTGATTTTTTAGTTACGAGACAGGCTAAAGTTATTCGTTTGCACGGTTACATTAGTACAAGTTTATTCAACAGCACCGTATGTTTTAAAATACGTTAATTGACTGCAGGTATCAAGTATCGTTACATAAACATGATTTCATCTTGTGCCTAAATCTTAATTCGCTGTTAAGTGGTGCTGAAGAATAATTGTTATCCTCCGCTTTATGCATTAATGTACATGATACACATGAAGCGCAGTTTGGCGGACATAATTGCTTA